ACAGCGCTCCGTGGGCCGAGCTGTTCTGCCACGTGGGCGAGCGTTGTCTCCTGTCCGATAACGTGGTGCAGGGGCGCTACCACGACCCTTCAGCAACCGTTGGCGAAACCCAGTGCTGGACTAAACACGGTTAGTAAAGGAAAAGTCACATTTTTAAATTCTCTTATGCACCAACTAAAACCGTCCGATAGACAAATGTTTGCATCATCCTCATCTCTTGTGATATATCGACAATGGAAAAGAAAATGATGAAGTCCTCAGCTTCAGGATGAAAATGGTAGATTATCAATTATTTGATGAAGCTAAGATCCCTATCAGCTGTTCTCCCTCAGCAATGACCACATTTCAAAAACGAACACACATGGGTGCAATAAGAATACCTCCCCCATTCCCTTGCAACATTCACCATCCTTTTCACGCTTTTAAACCTCACTCAGCCCGTGTTTAAGGACGCAATATCTCTCCTCAATCCCAGCTCCTCCTCCTTGCTTCCCTCCGTTCACCGACGTCCCCAACTTGGGCTGCCTTCTCCTCCGAGCAACTCCGATCATGAGTTGGCACGACGCTCGCCTCGTCTGCAGGAGCTATGGAGGAGACCTGGTTGTTCCCAAGGACTATAACGCTCTGGCTGCCTACTTTCTGCCCTTCGGCCCCAAGGGTGTGATGTCTGCGTTTAGCGTTGTGCCTTACACCTGCTTTAAAACATTTAGTATTATTATTGGCTTACTTTTTATTGCATCCACTTGATTGTGTAATGAACGTGCTCTGGTCAGTCTTGTGAGAAATCTTCGCAGGCTATTTAGCTATGATTTTTTTTCTCTCAAAGCTTTTTCTTTCGATAAGATCAGAAAAGTAGGCTCAGTCAAGGTCTATATAAGTACTTTTATAGACCTTGGGCTCAGTCTCTATCAGAGCGTCTGTAGGAAAGACAAAATAGTGACAAATGTTAGACCGTGTCACTCTTTTGCCTTCTTTATCCAAGAATTGTTTCAAGGCTCACCACATTTGACTTGATTTCATCACAAGATTATTTCAATTCATGAATAAGATGACAGCACGAATGCCCCTAAATATTGTGACAGCACCCCCTCCTTTGCAGATATGTGGGTGGGCGTGTACAAGGAGAAGTGGGTGGATGGTTCACCAGTGACTAATTGGGGGGCTGGCGAACCGGATGGAGGCACCCAGTACTGCGCCAGAATGTTGAAGCTATCAGGGAGATACCAAATCTGTGATGCTGGATGTTCTCTTGTATACGGATTCTTATGTCAGTTAAGGTAAAGGATACAGCTGTTGAACTGACTGAGAAAAGGACGAGAGAAAAAAATATACATGTGTTTGTGCACAGAAGCTTTAGAATGGTATAAAACAAAGATTACAGCATTATATATATATATATATATATATATATATATATATATATATATATATATATATATATATGTGGAGTGTGGTCTGCGGTCCAGAAGAGAGGGCGACACAGTCCAGTTGCACTCTACCTTAACTCCAATGCACCTCACTTTCCCTTGCGCGGGACTTTTTCAATGATCCCGTTGCTCATTTGCAACTGTCCTCGCTTTTTATTGTTTTTCTTACTGCATTGTGTTAATTTTTACCGATCTGCTTTTGTTTGATACATTTAATTTGTTGTTTTTAAGAGTCTTGTTTTATCCCGGCCATGATATAATTTTCTGCCAAGTCATTTTTATGTGTTACTGTACTCAAATTCTTTTTTAATCCGTATCTTATCTTTTAATACACATCATAATCTTGTATTTTTACTTATTACTGGTCCCTTTCTTGTCCTGTTTTACTTTTGATTTTATTGATATGTATTTTTTTTCTTATTTTGTATTATTGTATTTTACTTTGTTTTTTGTTTTTTCTTTGTGTATTTCATTGTCATCTGTCTTTTACTCGTACTTTGTTTGAATTGTATTATTATTGTAAATCACTTTGGAAAATGATTCGTTTTTTGTGATGTCACTAGTCCATGACAACACAGGACCCATGACAATAAACATTGTCAACTGGACTTCTGTGTCTTTTGGATATAACCTCCTCTCTGCAGAAACATCAATCCTTGTACCAGTCAGCCTGTTACTTGCCCAGTTTATATATAAATCGGACTTTAATGTGTGTTACCCAATGAAATAATGCTTACTTATATGCCTTTTAGTCATTCTGTCACTTGCCTAGCTTATATTTATGCTGCACGCTCACGTGTGTGTGGAATTCATGATGAACAGATTGCAGCAGGAACAACGAAGGGAAGGACAAGAAAACACACGAATATACCAAAGGAAATATACCAAATATACCAAATAAATATACCAATGAAATATACTAAATATACACGAATATACCAAAGAAAATACACAAAATATACCAAAAAGCATTAGCGAAAAGGCCTTCCGCATATTCGTGTGTTTTCTATTGCCTTTCATTGGGATAAAAACTCGTAATTGTATTTCTATCTTTGGTACATACTGACAAAGGA